AAGAGCCAAAACAACCAAATCGGCAGCTACCTCACCAAAAGGTTATCCAATTGAGAGTTCCACCTCTTCACCAATAGACAACACGGAGGAGGGAGCAATCAATGGCCACAACACCAACCAAAACATCAACCACCACCATGAGAGGAGAGATGATCCACCTGAAGATCGTACCATACGGGACAAGCTAAACCGGAGAACCGGAGCTCGAGCTTCTGGTGTTGTCCTTTCTCCTCATGGAGAAAATTTGGGAATCACACCATCATTCATCCATATGAATCCATGATTACTAGTGGATGCACGTTCTCTGGTGTGACTACTGATGATCTACATGATCATCTCATGAGATTTTGCTACATATGTGACACCATGAAGAATCCTAGAGTGTCAGATGATGCAATCAGGCTGCAGATGTTTCCATTCTCTCTATTCGGACAAGCGAACCATTGGTATGAGAATCTTAATCCACGTTCTATCACCACATGGGCACAACTAGAGAAAGCCTTCCTAGACAAGTACTTTCCACCATCCAAGGAAATTAAGAGACAAAAGGACATTGTAGATTTGAGCAAATTGATGGTGAGAGTCTAAGTGAAGCTTGGGAGCGTTACAAAGAGCTACTTCTCAAATGCCCAAGCCATGGTCTAAAGAATGGACTGTTATCTCCATTTTCTTTGATGGGATAAAGAGAGTGTTTAGAGAAGCATTGAACCATGCATTTGGTGGAGGATTTACAACCATGGAACCCGGAGCTGCCTACGACCTTGTTGAAAGAATATGCTTGAATGAAGAATGGAGAGAAGAGTTCTAGAAGGAGATGAGGTATCCATAAAGTAGACAAGTTTACTAGCTTAGAAGCTCGACTAGAAGCCAAGTTGGATTCAATGTTTGACCTTTTTGAGAAGAAGTGTATGTTGGGAGCTACTCAATCAAGAGATGTCAACTATACGAACAACCAAAGAAATTAAGGTGGTGCATAATCCAACACCAACAATCCTAGATGGCGTGACCTTCCCAACTTTTCATGATCCAACAACAATGTTGGAGCCTGAAACAGCAATGCACCACCTAGATTTCAACCTCTAGAAGAGAAGAAGCCCGCATGTGAAGAGCTCATATTTTCGCACATGAAGAAGATGGAGAGAAACATGAAGGGGCTAGATGAATTTTTTGCTCACACCACCAATCAATTTGAAGAAAAAAATGTGATTAACAACACCATGCAGACATCCATACTTAGAATGGGGGAGAAAATGAGTCAAATGACTCAAATTCTAGCAAATATTCAAGATCGTATATCGGGAACTCCCCAAAGCAATATCAAGAGGAAGACAAAGGATGTATGTTCCATAACGTTGAAGAGTGGAAAAGAGCTAAAGGAGACAGCCCCAAAGATCCAAAATTCATCACAAGCCAAGGAAGGTGCTGAAAATTCTGCTGCTGAAAATTTAGAGACTGATGTGCAGAGTCAAAATGCAGGCACTTCACCACTACATGAGCATTCATCAACTGCACCTCCAAAACGTGAAAAATTCAAAGATGAAGGAGTCAAACCTTATGAACCCCCCTGCACCTTTCACTCAAAGGTTGATGAAGCCCCAAGATGATCCAAACTACAAGAAATTCCTCAACCTCTTAAGACAACTCCATATCAGCATACCATTGGCCGAGGCGTTGGAGCAAATGCCTACTTATGCAAAGATATTGAAGGAGTTGATTACTAATAAACGTAAGAGGGCTGACATGGAAAAGGTAACCCTTAACTATGAATGTATGTGATTCAAAATAAAATTTCAGATAAAAGGGACGATCTAGGAAGTTTCACCATCCCTTGTATCATTGGTGGCAAAGAGTTTGATCATTCACTTTGTGATCTTGGAGCGGCGGTTAACCTGATGTCTTTTTCAGTCTACAAGAAGTTGGGACTGATGAGTTCTTTAAATCCCACTCATATCACTATTCGGTTGGCTGATCTTTCCATGTAGGTACCAAATGGAATAGTAGCGAATGTATTGGTCAAGGTTTGGAAATTCATATTTCCGATCCTTTGATGTCTTGGAGATGGAAGAAGACCAAGATGTTCCTCTCGTTTTTGGAAGACCATTCTTAGCCACTAGCAATGCACTAATTGATGTAAGTAGAGGTAAATTGACCTTCATAGTAGGTAAGGAGGAGGTAATTTTCAATGTCTTTCAGTTTAATGATATTCATGAGTGTTTTGATACCTCCAAAAGTAATGTCCAAGAAAGGAAAAGTACATCTTCCTCCCACAAGGTTACGTAAGAATTTCCTAAGCCGCATATTGAAGAATTGAGAGAGGTATTATACTTGAAGGAGAATGACATTGGACAAGTGAAAGAGCCGTCACAAAGATTATCATACCAGGTAGACAAATCAAAGCAGAGCATGAATCTCTAGCATATTATCTAAAGTCAAAATATTTGGGTAAGGATTTTGATCTTCTTGTTGCTATTCCTTCTTCACTATATTTTAAGCAAGAAGAATACTTGCTTGAGGTACTTCAACATCACCTACACCTCACTAGTGGACCAAACAAGCATGCTATAAAAGTTAGCGCCAATTTTCGTACGACATTTCACACGACATAATTGCCTATCGAAGCGATAGTGGATTAAGTAGGCAATTATGCAGTCATTTTAGTGATATCATTCTTATGGTTAATTAATTAATGCAATTAACTATGATAGTTGAAATTGTCTTAATTATTTAGTACATGGTAATTCTCGATAGAGATAGCTATCAATTTAGAGGTATCCCGACAGTAGAAATATGAATTAAATTGATTGATAAGGGTAATTAAATTTACCGAGGTTAATAGTAAAATCTTGTGTTTCCCCCAGAACTCTCCAAAGTTAATTTCTCCAAAATATTTCATTTTTCGAGTTTGTTAAATTCAGTATTTCTGCAACTCATCACTTGATTACAACCTTTGCAATTTCTATAGTTTCTTGAACTAAGTTTTTTAATTATTGAATTTCACCAATCCCCTAGAGAACGATAATTTTACTTACACTTTATTGCTTGTACGAAACTGCGCACTTGCAGTTTTGTCGTCACCAATTGCTAATAGTCTTCACAAATGTAGCCCGCTAAGGATAAATTCAGTCAACTTAGTTAAAACATTGATCATATAGATCTTACCATTTACCTCATAAATGAAATTTGAAAGAAGTCCTTTGACTACTTGATCGAAAAAAGCGCGGATACTCCAAGAGTGTTGATGTCATTGTTTGATGCAGGCGTTTTGAAGAAGTAATTTCAAATTCATGTGTTATAAAATGCTACAACTTCAAGGGCAATGGTAGTTTTCTTCTTGTGTCCATTGTATTGATATGCCCAGGCATTCGGACCGGTCTTTCACTCCCAATGCATGTAGAAAATTGAATTAATCACACTCAGAAACCACGTTGCGCCCTATGATTAAGGAGGAGATGAAGTCTTCCACATTTGTTGCACGCATATTCTTTGAACCATAAATGTCGCTGATGGTTGAGCAAAAATTCCTCAACAACTGCAATGTGGTGCTTTCACATATTCGAAATATTTCGTCCAAAAAGTTTGTTGATCATCCATATGCAAGAATTCGGAGAGAACTCATAAGCTTTTGGTGTGAGGAGAATGAGTCACAACCATCGACATCTTTGCCTCGATTGAAGCGTGAGTCGCATTAATAACATCATTCATGGTTCAATCGAATAACATAGGGGACATGTGATATCACTTTGTGAAGAACCTAGCATCTTAGGTTGGATTTGGATAAAAAAATCTTGCATCTCGCGTATATGTGATCGTCATCCTTATTATGCCTCATTGATTTTTGTGAGCATGATTTATGACGAGATGATTTTTTCTATTTTTTTGTTGGTGCACAAGGATTTAGTACATCATGAACATCTTTATACGTTCATGCTCAAATTGACACTAGTGCTCCCATTGCCTACTATCACTTTACCTTTGCCTCTCATAAGCTTCCATTGCCTACAAGGATTTATGACGAGATGATTTTTTCTATTTTTTTGTTGGTGCACAAGGATTTAGTACATCATGAACATCTTTATACGTTCATGCTCAAATTGACACTCGTGCTCCCACTGCCTACTATCACTTTACCTTGTTGGTGCACAAGGATTTAGTACATCATGAACATCTTTATACGTTCATGCTCAAATTGACACTCGTGCTCCCATTGCCTACTATCACTTTACCTTTGCCTCTCATAAGCTTCTATATGAGGGCATTCCATGACGTAAAATTAATTGTTGGTGGCTACATAGAGGTATGAAGGTTGAATGGTTTTCAAGACAAAAGGTTGAAAGCTCAAAGCTGGATGAGTTGATTAAATTTTTATGAACATTTGATAACACAAATCATTTTGGCAAACATGTGGTGAATTTATAGTCATCTTAACCAATTATTATTTTAACCATTAATGACATCATATTTACAGACGAAACAATGTGTCCAAATAAAAAAAAAATTACATCAAAATATTCATCTTAATTAATTATTATTATCTGTATTAAAGTAATGAAGGAATTATCTAAATAAAAATTTGAAATCCCCACTGAAATGACTTAGATCCTAATAATATAGGTTCTCTAATTGAATTTTTGAAAATTGAGACACAAATAACAAAATATGCAAAGTACAGATCTTTCGATATTAACTTAAACTATTAAAAAAGTTTAAATTTAACAATTTGGAACTGAATGGGATATTGGACTAAAAAATATTAAACATGTAAAGTTCACCTCATGTTTATCAAAACCATAAAATATTTGTGCAATGTGAAGAATTAAGGAAAACCAAAGCGAACAAGTCACGTTAAGGTAGACAGATGAAAAAAGTCACTTTGCGCTCATATTTTGACTTGGAATGTTTCATTAAAGATTCTTCATATGGAATGCAAGTTCCCGAGCAATAAATATGCTACAAGTTACTCTATTTGACAAATGAGTTCGAGATATAAAGGAAGCAATAAATATGCTACAAGTTACTCTATTTGACAAATGAGTTCGAGATATAAAGGAAGACTCAAATACATCATAAGACAACCAAACCAATTTTTTTTTGTAAATGCTATATGAATTGTACACTAAATACTATATGAACTTCCAGAATCACTTACACATACACAGAGAGCACATAACACAAAACAAACCATTATTGCATCTCAAGAAACCAAGAAAATGAACTAAAATTCATGAAACAGAGGATAACAAAGAGAATATTATTTCACTTTCTTCTTAGTCCCGATGCCTTGGTTCTAGATCACTGAACTGTCTATCCAGTGCAGGACTAACACATGAAAACATGGAAGTCTTCTTCTTCAACTTCACCCCAAACAAGAACGACCTCAATGGAATCCTTGGCTTTGAGAAAGACCTCTGCTTTGCCCCAATCTCCACATCAAGCTGTAAAACAACCCTATCGATGTCGGACTTTAATGCCTTCACCCTTTCCAAACCCATATGCAGCTCTTCCCCAACTTTGCTACCTTCCTGCTTCATGTTCATAAGCTCCCCTTGAAACTTCGCTGCTTGGTATTCGCTCAGCTCGTTATCCACTGTATCCGTCGCTTTTCTGGAGAGTTCGTCCTCAATCCCGCACAAGGACTTGGACCTGGCGTCAAGTTCGTCCTTCAACACCATTATGTTCTCCAACCATAGAGATAGCTCATTTTGTATCTCCTTCAAATGTTTGTAGATCGGTCGAGCGTCCTGAATTAGAGTTGGAATTATTTTCCCAGTTCCGTCTGCACGTTTATTGTCCATTAGTTGAGCTAATTCCCCCTTCAAGTCATGAACAGAATTCTGGAATTTTCGTATTTGGTGAAATGATGTGCTGAACCGAAGCCAGAACTCTAGATTTTCTTCGAGGAGATTGTCTATCTCGGATCGTATCTTTTGCTCCACCGCCGAAATGGGCAAGGGCGATGACGAAGGTTCTTCTTCGCTTGGCCTTTTTCTTGCCGTGTCGGTTTGAGCAGGGGAACAATACGATGGTAGGTCAGATTCTGGGTACCCGATCATATTTGCTATGCTTTCTGCAGGGGACACTTTGAGATTTGTGGTGGCTCCTCCAATGGGTGAAGATATTTCATTTTTTCTAAGAGATATAATTTCTTCGTCTTTGTTTGCTATAGCATTTTTCAACTCCCTGATTTGTAGGGACAATTCAAAGAAGCCATCTTTGCTCTTCTTCTCCACATCTCCAAGCTTTCTTCTTACATCCTTGTAGCTTCTCAGTACGTTTGTGTATTCTTCCCTCATTACTTTCTCTCTTTCATTCCTATCCCCTTTCAACATCTTCTTCCAATTTGGCTCATCTTCTTCTTCTTCTTCTTCCACTTTCTCTTCTCCTGTTTCTGAAGATTCATTATTTTCATTTATGGAGTTTGGTTTGGATTTCATTTCCTGACCTGAAGCTTCCTCTGTTTCACGAAGCTCAACTTTCTTCAACCTTCTTGACAAATGTTCAATTTTGCTGTTCGTTTTGGAAAAATCTGCCTGAAGGTGATTGTTCTGTTCCTGAATTGTCTGATTCAAGAGTTTCACGTGATTTAATTCATCCTCAAAATCCTTCAATTTGGAACCCACCATCTCTGAATTCTGCTTAAGAGCCTCCTTCTCTTCTTCCAATCGCGTCACCCGGGCCTCAAGCTTCTCTGTACTAGATTTTAACGTACGAACCAAAGCACCCTGAGATGAAACTTCTGTCTCCAATACCGCCACTTTCTCAACAAGCTGATCGATCTTGTCAGCCAACTGCATCACCGTAACAATCGATGGGGATTCCTTTTCCAGCTCTTTCCTTATCTTCTTCTTCAAACTCTCCACTTCATCCAAATCTGCCTTCTCCTCCTCCTCCTGTTTCCCTCCTCCTTCTTCTTCTTTTTCTTCTTCTACTTCTTTTTCCTCTTCTTCTTCTTCTACTTCTTCTTCTTCTTCTTTTTCCTCTTCCTCTTCAATAATAGTTTCCATCTGTTCATCAGAATTCTTCAAAATCTCACCTTTCAAATTAATAAACTTTTTTTGAACCGCTTTGATCTTCGAATTCTCGACATTGGCATCCTCAACACTCTGATCTTGCTTCCTTTGTAGCTTCATTAGAGCATCTTTACACGACCTCAATGCTGTTGTGGCCATCAAGCTTCGAGCTTCTCCATCATCAAGGACATTGCTAATGTCGAACTCGTCCTGTAGCTTGTGGATCCTTTCCTGAATTTCGCTCACTCTATCCTCAATCTTGCCGCATTTTGCATTACATCGGTCGCAGATGCTCTGCACAAACTCCTTCTCCGTCTGAAGGGATAAAATCTCCTTCTGAAGCTTATCGATCTCCTCCAATGCCTCTTCTTTTGTAAAGCCTGAGCTGGCAGCAACTGGGAATGAGGTTATTGATCGCATGAGAGCGGGCTTGTGATTAGGGTGGTGGGATCCTAATGTGGATTGCGTCCTGAGGACCTTTTTGGGAAATGCACCAATGGGGGGTTTGGGAGAGGCGAATGGCTTTCCATCTTCGGCTCGGGTGGGGGTTTCTCCGAGGGAGGCATCGTCTTCATCGTCATCGTAAAATTGGACGGATTCAGGGAAGACAGTGGCGATGGTGCGATTAGCACTCTGAAGGTCTTTAGACAAGTGATCATATCGCTCGGCAAGCGCTCGGTAGGCGCGGTAAGAATCCTCCACGTGGTTTATGAGCTCGGGGCGTTGCTTGTAATACATCTCGACTCTTTTGACGAAGCTATCGCCTTCATTCTCGATGATTGACAACATCTGCCCAACTTTGTCCTCCATGTCTGTAGCAACACATAATAATTTCCCCACATTTAGAAACAGAGACACCATAGATGAAACACAATATTGTTTAATTTCTTAAAAATAGAGCATGTAATGATCATGTTGTCTTCATCGTCGTAGAACTTTTCTAGCATACTGATAGTGTTGGAATTGGTACCAGACAATTGACATCATTAATGATTCAAATTAGGGACGTGTGCTAACTCAATCGATCAAATTAGGGATCTCTTATTTGTGATTGTAAATAATGTTATTAATGATTCAAATTAAGTACGTGTGCTAACTCCATCGATCAACAATGTAACATGATCATTTACATATATGTAAGAGAAAAAGGAACATTTTGGGTTAACCTTGGAGGTTTTCCTCGAGCCATTTGGATTGTTTGGTACGGATGTGGCTAGCCCACCACCATGAATAAGCATTGCTGGCGGCTCTCTGCAACATTCCAAACCCCAACCACCCTTTCGTATCTGTCTAAGCGATTTGCTCTTCTATTCTATGATGGCTCCTCTTATAGGAAAGAAAGACAAGTTCCTTCAGCCCATTAATATAGGATGTCCAAAAACTTTACATGCATGAAGATAGAAGTGGATCCTCCCAATCTCAAAGAAAAATGTAAACAAGGAGATTACAAACTTCATATGGAGGAAATGGAAACAGAGAGAACAAAACGTGATTAAGAAGGAAGAAATGAGAAAGATTTCTTATTATTTTGAATGAAAGTGACAGAAGGATTTTTTGTTGTTGAGAAAGTTGAACTTTTTTTGTTTTGATTTTTGTTTTTCGTTGGTTTGTTAATTCCATACCATGAAAGGGAGGGTAATGTGGCCCGTGTTTATCGTTGATTTTTTTGTAACACTTTAAGTAAATTTAGCCAAATTGTTGTGGCATTAGCATATATATGGCGTGGTTTAGTTATTCCATACAATATTCAAATATAGTTTCTTGTTTGGCCTTTTAGAAAAGTGTATTTTGAAAAAATTAATTCAGTGCTCCCTAGAGAATAATTTACAGAATAAGTGATGGTGAAATAGTCATCCCCACACTATTTTTCATGGTCGACTGAATAGATTTATACAAAAATATTAGAAGAAGGAAAAAGGGTTTGGGTTTGGCCTAGTGGTTCTACCACTAGCCTAAAACCTGGAGGTCCTAGATTTGAATCACTTAAATAGTACCTTAATAATGAAAACAAAATAGTACCTTATATATATATAATGAAAACAAAATAGTACCTTATATATATATATTAGAGGGAAAAAAGTATAAAATTGCTTTATCCCTTATCTTCTCTAAATAATATAAAGAGCTTTCTCCGGGAACTCTTCCCCGCAACTTTCAGAAAAAATTCAAAACTACCACTGTTTTAGAAAAAAAAATTACAAAAGTACCACACTTTCCGAAGAAATTCCAAATCTACCACTATCCCCCATAAACCGCGCCTCAAAGGTGCGGTTCTCATTCATACCGCGCTGGCAAGGTGCGGTTTGCCATTAGGCAGCTGCAAAACCATACCTCCACGTGGCGGTCCATGCAACCACGCGATGGGCAGACGATCAGTAGAGTATCCTTGTACTTGCCGGTAAGGAATGTTCCACCAACTTGAATCACAGGAACACAAAATGGAAAACCATCAATACATGGCTTGAATGACCAGAAAAGACGCTTTTGAAATGGCGCTTGTTACTAGGCACCGGGGGATGAATTTCTTCATCTTGGTAGCGGGGAGAGAAAATGGTGTCAGGGTTAGAATCAATATGGGAAGGAATGCATATGATTCTTCCCAGCCACCAAACACGGCGGCCATTGCTTTCTATTTTCCATGCCACGCCTTCTTGTAGTTAATGATATATCCGTAACGACTAGAAATGTCGGCGATGATGGTTTTAACCTTCAGGTTGGGCTGCTCCTCAATTAGATGTTTGATAGCCGCGGCAACCACCCTTGATTTCAACTGTCGATGGCCTTGGGATGTTATGGATGACACACAGGTGTGAGTGTTCACCGCACGGGATATGACCCAATGGCCGACTCTCTTGCTCTTGATGGACCGGACCCTAGCCTTGCATCCCTCATTTTGATTTTGGCATCTAACCATCAGCCTCTTCGTGTCGGAATGTGTTGTGTGCCATTCAAAACTCCAAGTCATTGCTTCAGTGGCAATAACGTGTCGAACCTCATTCTTTGTTGCAAATTGTTGGTCCTTCGTAAAGCCAGTGAGTGGACCCCATACTGGTACCTCTGGCGGGTCCATGTCGGCATCAACATACCAATCTTCATTTGGAATGTGATTGTAGTACGGAATAGGTACACGGTCGCGAGGCACCTCATCACCGTCTGCGTCTAAATCTGGAACAGAATCATCAGCACCTTCAAGAGGATCGAAGCTGTCTACACTGACATCACCTTCCTCTTCTTCAACCTCAGGGTCACTAACTGGACTTGGATTGAATTCTTCTTCCATCTGATGAAGATCATGAAAGGCACCTTCACATTCATCAGCTCCGTAATGGTAGTTATGATAACTAACGCCACTTTGGTAGAAGTTGTACCCGGGTTGGTACTGGTAGCCTGCTTGTTGTTTCCCATCCGCCTGTTGAGCTTCTTCTTCATATGTTGGGAAGGATTGATGATGACCTCCAGTTCCATCATGATACTCCTGGCTCCAGCTTTGGTCTTGGTACTCTTGGTGAGGATGATCTGCGTATAATACACTCCCACCGTGGATACCAGATGTTTGGCCATCTCCAGAATGACCTACACCGCCTTCGACCGCCTCAGTGTAAACGAACATTTCCGCTTGTTTAATCTTATTGGTGGTCAAAAATTGGACCATGGCATCAACGTCCTCCTGAGTTGTAATGATGAATTCATCATTCCACAACGACCCGCCATGTCTGTTTGGATATTGATACACCATACGATCAACTCTTCTAGTGCCATCCATGCAGGTAACCTCAGTGCACATCTGATGGAGCTCTTCAAGCATCGGTCTCGTACGGACCTTCATTTTATAATAATTGTCACCCATGTAACTTACACCCTTTCCGATATCTTCCGTGTAACCATTCCACCGTAACTAGGGCTGGTAATCGGTCGGTATCCGGTATACCGGATACCGAATAGTCGGTATTCGGTATACCGGATACCATTGTGTGCCCACCGAATACCGATACCGAATGTTATCCGGTATACCGAATACCGAATAGTCGGTATCCGGTATTAATACCGGTATACCGAATACCGGTTAATGCATTGAGTTATGTTTTCGAGCCGGTATACCGACTTAATACCGATACCGAGTGGGCTGATTTGGGCTTTTTGTTCTTTTTATTTTTATGAATGTTGTTTAATTAAATGATGTAAATAATTTTGTTTGTTTATTTATTATTACTATATTGTATTGCTATCATCTAGCAAGTTTTATTAATCAACAATTCACTATTAGTTGTATTGCTATCATCATCACTATTAATGTCAACTACATTCTAATTTCTACACAAGTAGTTAGTAGATAAATATAGCATTACTACTACATAAGTACATAGTCTCAAACATGAAATAGATCACAAATTCCATCATCTAACAATCAACAATTCAACATAGTCTCACTCTCACAACATAAGTTACACTTACAAGTTCCAACTTAAAATAAAATTCTCCAACATAAAGATAGCATAAGTACACCACTAAGATTGACCACTAGCTCCTCCATCGCTAATATGGCGCGAACCGCCAACATCGGCACAACCTTGCTTCTTCAAAGTGTTGAGAAGAACATCATTATCATCCTCCTCTTCATCCTCCTCTTCATCCTCCGCTTCATCCTCTTCGTCTTCTTCTTCTTCTTTTTCTTCTTCTCCATCACCATCCTCCTCCTCAACCACAATGGGTATATTACTTGGCATATCACCTACACTTTCCATTCGAGCTTCAAAGGTACTAGTGACTAAATTTAAGGGGAAAAAACAAATTGTTAGAATTCATCAATTATCTTGGAAATAAAGTGAGTGAATAACTAAAAACAAATAAGAACTATTACCTCTTTCATAATCAATCTGTTCTTGATCTTCTTCTTTATCATCAACTTGGCCTGAATTCTTACCACATTCATACCGTATCCAATCTTCGGCACAAATCAAGGCCTCTACAATGTTAGAGTTCAAAGAAGACCTAAACGGACTAAGCACTCTACCTCCACAACTGAAAGCAGACTCTGAGGCAACTGAGGAGATTGGAACTGCCAGGATATCCCTAACCATCTCTGAAAGGACGGGATATCTAACACTGTTCCGAGACCACCACTTCAAAATGTTGAACTTCTTATCATCATCATCCTCATTAATAGCATCATCAACATCTCTTAAATAGATGTCCAATTCAGAACTACCTCGAACCCCCTTTTGAAGTTGCTCTTTTCTCCTCTTCCTGAACTCAGCATCATATTTCCCTCCCAAAACACTAGTACCAGCACTAGCATCACTCACAGTAGGAGTAGGATGAATAGTGGTCTCAGATGATGGAGATGAACACTTCAATGTGTAAATCTCAAACATATCAGTCATGTCTGCAGTTACTTCCTTTACCAAAGCTTCTCCTTTCGATTTCCCATACATAGCATCCAACATAAAAGATAGATATGCAAGTTTACGCCTAGGATCCAGCACACATGCTATGTAAACTAGTCTATTTATCTTTAGGTTCTCTTCCTCCTCCTCCTCATCATGTTCAAACCAATACTTGCGTACCTTAGCCTCAATTCTGTTTGCCATTTGTTGTATCTGCTCATCCATATCATTCTTCAATGTTGTTATCACTTCAAAAATATCAACAATGGCCTTGAAGAATGTATGTGCAGTCACATATGATGTTCCTGATACAAGGTAGATATAACAGTATAAGTTGTAACTCATGATTCACAACTTTAAGATAAGATAAATTATCAAAAGGAATGGTAATGGATTTGAAAATTTGATATTCACATACCCGAAACACGAAGGGTTAGATCATAAAAGAACTTCAGGTACTTCATTAGCCGTCTGATACTGCACCAATCTTCTTTGCTTGGTAGACCCTTCTTTGACTCAACATAATCTCGAAAAGAAGCACCATTTGGACTTGAATGCATGAAGTTAAACACAACCTCGAACCGTTCTGCAGATTCCAACATCAAATAGGTGGAGTTCCACCTAGTTGGAACATCCAAAGACACTAGTTTTCTCCCATCTATTTCAAGAAATGAAATAGTAGATTTGAACTTTTCACTCCGAGCTGGTGACGACTTCACCCATTTCACACAATCACGAACCCTCTCTACAGCAAGTCCAACTTCCTTCAGTCCATCAGAAACAACCAAATTTATTATGTGTGCCACACATCGAAATTGTAAGAACTTCCCATTCATCAAATCCGATCCCCACTCTTTCAACTTTGTTCTCATGCACTCAACAAGGACATCATTAGAAGTGGCATTGTCCATTGTAATGCTGAACAAATTATGCACCTTCCATTCTTCTAGACATGCTGCCAACTTTTCTGCAATATCTTTTCCTATGTGACTAGTGATAGGAACAAAACTAATTATCCTCTTCTGCAACTTCCAATCACTCCCAATAAAATGAGCAGTCACACACATAAAATTCTGATTGTTATCAGAAGTCCAAGTATCTGTGGTAATTGAAATCCTTCCTTTGCACTTCATCTTGAAAAATTCAGTTAACAACTCTTTCTTCTCAAGAAATATGATGTAACAATCTTCCCTTATTGTTTGTCTTCCAGGAATCACAAACAAAGGTTGTGTTATAGCCATAAATCTCTTAAACCCTTCACGCTCAACAAATCTAAATGGAAGCTCATCCAATATTATCATGATAGCTAATGCAGTCCTAGCTTTCTTTTGATCGAACTTCCATGGAGTAAGAGAGCCTACCTCACCATCCCCAGGTTGGTAGTTCAATAATGACTGACCACCAGCTTCTTTCCTCTTCCTCTCGCATGCCAAGCGATGAGTTTTCAAGCCACTAGTCCCATTGTTGACGGCATGTGCTTTGATCAAAGCACCACATTGTTTGCATTTGCCATTTGGGTAGCCTTCCACCAACACATGATCATAATAAGCCCACCACTTCGATGTCTTCTTTCTTCCTCCTCTCTTCTTCACATTTTCCTTTGGCTCACCACCTGCCGTAGGTGTTGGATTTGCCACACTTGTGGTAGGTGCTGGATTTGTAGCACTTGCTTCAGTTGCGGATGGAGGAGGTGTCTTTTTGGAAGTAGAAGGTGTCTTTTTGGAAGTGCCTCCTTTTTTAGAAGTGGAACAAGGAGGAAGGGATCCACCCTTCGAATTACCTCCTCCACGAGAACGACCACGAGAGGGTTTTGTCCTACAAAAGTATAACAATTTGACTTTGATATGTTAATAAAAATTAAAAACCAAATGCTCCAATCTAGCAAAAGAAAAGACATATGAATATATGATCAAACTCAAGCATAAACAATTTGATTCTTTACATAAATCACGGCATCACTAATGTCTAATAAGCAACCTCCAACCCCTTGATTCTTTACTTCTTCCCTCTGTTCCAACCCCAACTTCCCCCTCTCTACTCTAACCCTTGATTCTTTACTTCTTCCCTCTGTTCCAACCCCAACTTCCCCCTCTCTACTCTAACCCTTGATTCTTTATTTCTTCCCCATCCCCTTCTCTCGCACTCCTCCACTTTCCACCCTCAATTCAAAATAACAATCAAAATTCACAATATCATCTAAGTCATCTAATTCACACATGCTACTTCTTACTTACATGCTACTTGATGACTGATGCTGCTTTTCTAATTATTCGTGTTTGATTGTTGAGACTTGAGAGTTGCCTGCTGTTATACCCTCGAGAAAGAGCTTATTACCTTCGCCTATTCACCAAAATCAACAAAACAAAGTTAGCAAATCACTAGAGTATATATAGAAAACAGAATGCAGATTGCTTATACTTCACGAGCAAACAAAATGAAACAATTTCGCTTTTTGATCTTTCTTTCCTTCTTTTTCCTCTGTTTTACCACTATGCATTATGCAATGACACCTCTTGGATCTAACTCAAAAGGAGGGAACTACTGAAACCAAACAAACCATTCTTCTTCTCCTCCTCCTCCTCTGTAAATGCCCAAAAAATTGGAAAGATTTCTTGGTACCCGAAGCTTTGCTACTGTAAACTTGTTGTGGCTGTCTTTTTGTCTATCTGTGATCTGTCTGTACACTCTGCCATTACCAACATCACAGGAAATGTCCCTGACCCATTTTCCGAAGAAACCAAGTTCCAAACCAAAGCTTTCATCTTTACATTCATTCAGTTAGGGGAGGGAATCATCATCAATGGTGGCTGGAAAATGAGAATCATTAACTGAGAATGGGGAGGAAATGGGCCTTTAATTACCAGCAAATACTCTCTGCCCTCGAGAAGAGAAGAGGAAGACAGACACGGCACACGGGGAGTCGGGAACTGCTGCTGGCCTGCTGCCCCTGCCTGCTGGGCGATGGCGAACACAGACGACGCTCGGCGCTGCTGCTGGCGAAGGGGAACACAGACGTGAGACGACGCGTGGACTGGTGGTGGAGCACGGCGTCGCGGCAAGCTGGCTGCCAGCGCTGGGTGCAGAGCTCGCCGCCTTCCCGCTTCGGACCTTCGGCGGCCGGCGCAGGGTGCAGGGGCTCGCCGCTGGGTTTCGACTGGGGCGGCTGGTTTCGAACGTCGACTGAGGAGGCTGGAGGCGGATGGAGTGGAGTGGAGGCTGTCTTGGAGAGGAAAAGCGACAGACGAGGACTGGAGGCTGGAGGGCGGGCCGCGGGGATCAGATGCAATTTCGTTTCAATTAGGGTTCCCCTTCCCCAATTCCACTGCGCTGCGTTTTCCTCTTTTTTTCTTTTTTTTTTTTTTTTTTGTAATTCGGTATTCGGTATACCGATTTACCGTCGGTATATAACCAATCGGTATTCGGTATACCGTTTGTCCGAAAATGGCAGCCGAATACCGATACCGCCGGTATTCGGTATACCGAATACCGATTGTAATCGGTTCGATACCCGGTTATACCGAATACCGGTTACCGAATACCAGCCCTAACCGTAACCCAAGCTTGAACTTTTGGAATGCCATCTGCAATAAAATTGTAATTAAGTTAATACCATAAAAATCACAAATGATAATGAAAAGTAATACAAAACAAACTTACAAATTAACGTTAATCGCAAAAACTAAATAATTTAAAGGTGCACAACTGAAATTTGAAGAAGGAGTCGAGTGAGGATTTTGAGTTTTCTGTACCTGCCTTTTATATGCAAATTTTACACTAGAAATCGCAGGGGGAGTGGTTTTAGTCTGCCATGCAGCCCCCACCCCTGCAACCTCCTGCATGCCGACATGTCGGATGTCGGGTGACGGGGCACAAACCGCTGGGGGGCAGTTTATGTGTCGACATGGTAAACCGCTTCCCTGTGGAGCGTTTTACCTTGCCGACACATAACCGCTCCCAGAAGACACGGTTTGTGCTAGGGCAGCCATTAAAACTACTCTTTCGAAGGGCGTTTTTCCAAAAAAAGACAAACTGCGTGTCTAGCAGGCGGTTCCATGGTAAACCGCCGCCTGGGTGGGCAGTTTCTGTTTTAACCGCCCCTGCGTGGAGCGGTTTTTAATAAACAGTGGTAGATTTGGAATTTCTTCGGAATGGGTGATATTTTGAAATTTTTTTAAAACAGTGGTAATTTTAGATTTTTTCCGCAACTTTCAGGGTCCTTTTAGCTTTTTCATTTTAACTGTGGCAGTTTCTTTTCCTATTTTTCCACACACGTCTTGAAATCTATCAAGCCTTCCTCAAACCACAGTTGTCCCGTAAGTCCGTAACTCAACCCCGTCAGTTTTCTTCCCTCAAATTTGCAATGTTTCACTTTCATCCCATATTGACCTTCCTCTTTTGTGACCCCTACTTCACCCGCCGTTAGATGCGACAGTTTTCGGGACACTAGCGGCATGCGAAACGAGCGAATGGTGGCTATGAAGCGAGAGAGGATAACAACGTTTTGAGATATGAATAGATTAGGGTTTCAACCTACCCCTCTCATCTTTTTCATTTCATATATATAGTCCCAATTACAGAAACAAAGGACAATCCAACTGTGCTAGTAAACAAAAACAGAGTAGGTGAATAGTAAAACTGGAAAACGGTAAAAACAGTCGTTGTAGACCGTTGGAGAAGACAGTCTCCCATTGGCTAGTTATGTGTCCTATTAGTGTGTGCCACGTGTCCCGCAATGACATCTCTATAGCTGACGCGCTTGGTTAAGCTTGGCGCGTGTGCCTTCTCTGCTGAGAAGAAGAAAAATCTTCTATATCCCCTATTACCCCCCCCCCCCCCCCCACACACAAGATGGAGGGTACAAGGATTAAAGTCCCAGATTGGAGAGAAGAGAATCAAAAGGAGCAGGGGAGAGTGGCTTAGTGAAGATGTCGGCGAGCTGATGATCAGAAGTAACATTGGAGAAGCTTGATCGTACCAGCAAGGAACTTCTCACGAACCAAATGGCAGTCAAGCTCTATATGTTTTGTGCGTTCATGAAATGAAGGATTCTGAGCTATATAGAGGGCGGACTGATTGTCACAATAAAGAGGCACATGATGAGGATGTGAAACCTGAAAATCAGCAAGGAGATACAACAGCCACTGAATCTCGCAGGTGGTATAGGCAAGAGCCATGTATTCCGCTTCACAAGATGAGTGGGAAACAGTAGTCTGTTTCTTGGATTTCCAGGAGACAAGGGAATCACCAATGAACACAAAAAAACCTGTGATTGACCATTTAGTGTCTGGACACCACACCAATCGAAATCACTGAAGGCCTTGAGGGTGAGAGGGGTGTCAGCAGGGAAGAACAGGCCATGACCAGGAGTCTTTTTGTTGTAACGTAGAATGCGTGTGACTGCTTTCTTGTGAAGGAGAGAAGGTTCAGACATAAACTGACTAACCTGCTGAGTTGAAAAACGGATGTCTGGGCGGGTGGTGGCGAGGTAGATGAGTTTGGCAACAATGTTGCGATAAGCTGTTGCATCTACCTTCTCACTGAGATCAGTCGTACTCAAATGAGTCTTATAATCCATTGTGTACTGACTGGCTTAACCCCAAGAATGTAAGTGAGCTTTGATTCCGTTGATTTCAACCAGATCATCCCCCCCCCCCCCACAATTAGATCATCAACATAAACAAGTATGGTAGTATAAGAAGAACCAGTAGACCTAGTGAAGAGTGAATGATCAGACTTACTAGCCATGTAACCTTGATGAAGAAGACTATATGAAAGCTTGGCAAACCACAGTCGAGAGGCCTATTTCAGGGCATAAAGAGACTTATGCAACTTGCAGACAGGGTTTGGGATGTTGGCAGGAGCAGTCATGCCAGGTGGGAGGGCCATATAGGCCTCTTCATGGAGATCACCATGCAAGAAGGCATTGTTTATGTCGAGTTGATGGATGAACCAATTACGAGCTGTTGCAATGGCAAGGAAAAGCCTCACTGTTGTCATTTTAACCACAGGAGCAAAAGTATCCTGAAAGTCAATTCCTTCTCGCTGTGTATAACCCTTGGCCACTAATTTGGCCTTGAACCTTTCAATTTCACCACTAGAGAGTTATTTGATCTTGTATACCCATTTGTTGGATATCCTCTTTTTACTTGGAGGCAGAGAAACAATGGACCAAGTACCATTCTTTTCCAAAGCATACATTTCCTGATTCATAGCTTCATTCCAATAATCATGTTGAGAAGCTTGCTCATAAGTTGTTGGTTCAGTGAAAGCAGAGATGGCCAGAACAAAATGTTTCTGAGAAGGAGTAAGCTTACCATAAGACAGAAAAGATAGGGTACTTGGTGCTGGCAGTCACAGGAAATGCCTTGAATGCAAATAATTGAGCTCTTCTGGTCACAAGGTTATCACATTCATAGTCATTTAGACAATTGGGAGCTTTAATGACTATGGGGGGAAGGACTCGAGATGATGAAGGAACAATAGTAGAAGGCAGAGAGATAGGAGG